CCCCTTCCCTTGCAGAGCCGCCGTGGCTTTGAGCCGCGTCCCCTGTCTGCCGCAGAACCGCCTCCTACTACTGGGACTCCCAGCGGCGGCTCTACCGGAACCTGCTGAAGCTCTACGGCATCCGCTTCGACATCTCCGTGCACGGCCAGGTACCGTCTCCTCTGCAGACCCCGCATGCACGGCCCTGGTGGCCTTGTCACTGGGGCTGACTCCTTGCGCCGCTCCCTGCTGCTTTCTCCGTCAGCCAGCCCCACGGCTTCCTGCTGGCCTCGCTTTGCCCCACCCTGGGGAGCTCTTCACCTCTTTCCAGAGTTTTCTAAGCAGAGCAAGAAAAAAATAGCCTCTCCCATTTGAAGAGAAGCTTCTTGGTAATGCCCTGAGCAGGGAGGCTTCCCTCGTTGAGGGTGTGACATGGGTGTTGTGAAGTGCCGGGGCCTGTAGGCCAGGTGAGCTTGTCAGGGCAGAGGGCCTGTGGGCATCTCGGAGGGTCTCGTGGTGGGAGCATCCTGGCAAAGGTCAACCTGAACTTTTCTGAACCTGGACAATTTATCCCTTCTTGATTAATTGTACCCTTGGGTAGAAAAGTCATGGGCATGATGATGGCTGACGCTGCTCTGTGCAGCATTGCTGACAAACCCCATGGTGCAAGATGGAGCCTGTGCTGAGGGGACTTGCCACCCCGAGGGATGTCCACAGCTGCTCTGTCGTGCTTAGCAGTGGCCTCTTCACCTGAGGAGGGTCAAGCACACAGCGCAGGACGGAGTGCACCGCTTCTGGGCAGGGACACTGGGTCCAGGAGGTGTGGAGCAGGAGAGAATAGCCAGGAGAGAGACAGGAACCCAAAAAATCTCCTTCCTCGGCGATACCGGGCTCATCCGAGCAGAAGGGGACAGATCACATCAGGGCCGTGTTTGCCGGGTTGCAGTTCTGTGGGTGGCAGCTGCTGGGGCCCTGCAGCAAGGGGGGGGCTCCCGCCGTGCCCACGGGAGGAGGTGGGTCACAGTAACCTCTGCTGCCCCCAAGGCACGAGCTGCCTCAGTCCCCTCTGTGCCAGCCAGAGGGGTTTGGAGTCAGGCAAGCAGCAGATGGGTTCCTACAGCTGGGCACGGAGAAATGACCCCGGTTCCCCCAGCACCTCTCTGGCTTTAAGCACGCTGCCCAGCCGGGCTTGGCCCGCAGCCCTCTCACCGCTCCCCACCCGCTTCTTCCCTCTCCACCCACTG